TTATGATTTTTACTCACCAGAAATGGTTGTTGAATTGAATGATGAATTGAACAGGAAAACACGAGTATTTATAGGAGAAGAGAGAGAGAGAGAAAGAGAGAAAGAGAGTGATGAATTTTTTGATTGGTTGTTCTTGTTTCGTCCAATAGAAAATGAGTATTTTTTTATTTACAATTCTCTCTCTCTTATCAGAGGTCGGTCAATCAATCAATGTTTACCAATTAAGATAGATAAGAGATTTTCACATCATTTGACACAGTTTGAATAGCGCAACAACAAAAGAAAGATCTTCCCATGTACATCTTCACCAGATCCATCAGAATTCAAATGATATTTCATCGAGAAATTGTTTTATTTTTCTTTAAATAGTAAATATAATTTCAAGAGAAGTTGATATATTTGATTCCAACGACCTAATAAGTTTCCCATGACAACAAAATGAAACATTATTTGAAGAAAAAAAAGAAGAAATGTAATGAAACAGACAAGAGTGTGTTACTCACGATCAACACAAGAGGTCTACATATCATTAAGACTTTGGATGCTTTTCCTTTGCTCTTAGTAAATGAATTCATCGTGTTGCTTCTCATCTCTCTTTCGAAACGACATTGATTTGCTACAATTAATTCGACGACGAAGACTGTTAAAGTGTTTCATGTTTGATGTTAATTCCATCAAACTTCATTATTTCGAGCTTCAAAATCGCGGCTAATTTATTCAATTGTTCAATTGAAAATTCTTCTCTCACGATTGAACCAGTCGACAATTGACACAAAATTTTCACAATCATTGGATCAATAATATTTTGACGTTTGATTTATTTCGTCTATTAATCTTATAACGTGTTGTATCGAAAATTACCATAAAAATAAATATTTTTAGCATTGTATCATCAGAAGCAAACGGTGGAAGTGAGTAGTACGAGTTTGAATCAATTGAATGAGGGTGTGAACACAATCTTTTTTTTTCTTCCTCTATCCTTTTTCTCCGTGATTTGTCGGCCAATAGTAAGTCATCGGTCGTACGCTCGATTCAAGAAGAAATCCTATTGGTCTATTTGACTTTTTCTCTTTTTTAAATTTTTTTTCGACGAAATAAACTTTAATAGATACATGTTTTTACAAATTTACAAAAAAATACAGAAAAAAAAAACCTAATCGATGACAATGATGTTGTCGTCCTCAGTGCCGTTGGAATTGCCTTTCGGTGTTGTCCGATTTTCGTCCTTGTTTTTTGGCCAGTGCGTGCACTCGGATTCTTCCGGTACAAGTTGATCGCCAATTTTTTCAACTTTTCTCTTCTTGGCAGGATTTTCTGGTTCAGAGGACGACGACGACGACGGTGCTGTTGTTGAACGTGGAGGTGGTTCTGGAATGGGTGTGGCGGGCGTGGTGGAGTTGGTAGTTGCAATTGGATAGTCGTAGGGTTGAGGTAAGTCGCGGAGAAAATCCCAAAAGGATGAATCGTCCGATGAGTAGGAGCGTGTGGGTGGTCGAGGATGGTTAAGGATTGGATTTTTGCCCTAGAATTGAAATGGAAAATTAGAGTATATGTGCCAAGTTTTACTTACTGTGGTTGCGCGAGCAGCACGTCGACGAACAGTTGATTTACGGTTGTTTCGGGCCGGCATTTTTTTGAGAAATTGATCCGAGAATTGGAAGATTTGAAGCTAGAATGGAAAAAATAGTTCATAATGATGAGAACGCCAAATTTTATGATTTTTACTCACCAGAAATGGTTGTTGAATTGAATGATGAATTGAACAGGAAAACACGAGTATTTATAGGAGAAGAGAGAGAGAGAAAGAGAGAAAGAGAGTGATGAATTTTTTGATTGGTTGTTCTTGTTTCGTCCAATAGAAAATGAGTATTTTTTTATTTACAATTCTCTCTCTCTTATCAGTGGTCGGTCAATCAATCGATGTTTGCTAATAAAGATTGATGAGGGGTGATCGTTCATGAGTAAACATATCACAAGATATCAGACAAGTGCTAATAAAAATTTATTAACATCTCAAGATGAAACGAACAGACAGATAGATAAGAAATTTTCACATCACTTGACGCAACTTGAATATCACAACAACAACAATAACAACAGAAGGAAGATCTTCCCATGAGCATTTCAACAGATCCAACGACATTGAAATGATATTTCATCAAGAAAATGTTTAATTTCTTTTGAAATAGTGATTATAATTTTAAGAGAAGTTGATGTATTGGATTCCAACGATCGGATAAGTTTCCCATGGCAAAGAACTGAAAATTATTCGAAGAAAAAAAAAGAAATGAAATAAAAAACAGAAGGGTGTGTTACTCACGATCAACACATAGGTTCACGTACAAAACACTAGCTCATCTTCAACCATCATTAACCACTTGGATCCAACGGGTTTGCATAAGAGTTGGAATACTTGTTTTTGCTTTTAGTAAATGAATTCATCGTGTCTCTTTCAATCTTTCTCACGAAATTACTTACCCATATTGATTTGTTAGCAATGGTTCGAAGACGACGTTTTCTAACGTGTTTGATGACTGATGTTAGTTCGATTCAACTTCATTATTTCGGTTTCAAGTTGAATCAGTCGACAATTGAAACAAGATTTGCACAACTTCTGAGGCAATAATCGTTTCACGTTTGATTTATTTCCCAAATCATCGTGATAATAATAATTCTTACCATCGGATTTTCAGAAGCAAATGTTTCAAGTGACTAGTACGAGGTTGAATCAATTGAATGATGTGTGAACGAAATCTTTTTTTTCTTTTTTTTTTCTTCTTCTTCTTCTCTCTCTCTCTCTCTCTCTCTCTCTTCCTCTATCCTTTTTCTCCGTGATTTTTCGGCCAATAGTAAGTGATCGATGATACGGTAGACTCGAAGGAGAAATTTCATTGGTGTGTTCGAATTTTTCTTTTTCTCTCGTTCTCTCTCTCCTCTCGTCAACCTATAAAAGCCGATGTTTCCCAGCAGAATCCATCATTCTCATCTTATCACAACTTCGACGCATCTATACTGCTGGTACATCAATTACTTCTCAACGAAACGGTATGTTCCATTTCAACTCTATTCGTTATTTGTTTTCTATTATCATCATTTTCAATGAACATCTGCTTCCGTTATGTTCTGGCAACACGAATTCATTTGGTAGCAATCGCATTCAATATCGACAACGTCGTAGTCTATGGAACTTCTTCAGCGACACAAATGAGCATCGGCATCAAACGGGAAATAACAGTCCAATATTCAATGTTGCCAGTGGAAATGATGCCTCGTCGACGACAAAAACAGTAGCCGATTCTTGGCTGAAAATGGTCAAAGAACAATCTGGTCGTATAATGGAAGGTGCCACCGATGTTGCCTTGACACCAGTACATTGGATGCAAAATATCAGCAGCTATTGGTAAGCGATCGTCTTCTTATTATTTCTTTTTCGCTTGTTTCTTAATGAGTAAAATGAGATTTATTGTTGATTTGATTTTTCGTCGAATCTTTTTCATCATCAATAACAGTTCAATCGACTTAGAATTAGATGATGATAGAATCACGATAGTTCATAAAACAAAATTTCGAGATAAGATATTAGATTGAATCACTTATTTCGTTCTATCTCTATAGGCCTATTTACGTTATTTGTGCAACGATTATTCTCATATTGGGCACCTATATCTACTGTGTTTGCCAGAATAAAATGGCTAATTTAATGTTTTGGAATAGTGCGCAATATCATCGACCAGCACAAAACAATAATCTTTCACAATTTTCTAATCCAGAGAAGGGTATTATGATGTTAAGTCCATAGTCGTAATCGGATGTTCTATGTTGTTACATGTGTTTTCAAGAATAGAATTTCCTTAGGAACTTTTCTTTTTTTGATGATTTTTTTTCTTTCTCTTCTATTCAACTCGTTTATGCCAATTTCATATTTGCTGTGCTTCTTTATCTAACAATTAATGTTATTTCTCATTGATACTTTATTCTAGATTGTTTTCATTCTGTTGCCGATTCATCAATGTCGAAAAAGTATGATCGGATATTCGGTGGACTATTTTCTCCAGTGTCATTGGCCGAACGCACTTCTCTCAATCAATATCGTCATGATGCGAAATCAATTATTCAAACCAACGACAAACATCTGACCAATCAGGATGTTCATTTTGATGTGCATTCGCCCCAATCATCGTTTATGTCGATCAGTGGCTCAAATAATCATGGCTTAGCAGTTAACAAGGCAGAAATCAATGTAACAAATGTGTTCGATCGACCACTGATACTTCATTCAAACCAATATTTTCCACTTGGCTATTGCATTTTAGTTATTCTGATATATGTTATATTCATTATTGTTCTCGTATTCATACACTGTATTTGGCGTAAACGAACAGAGAAGCGATGTGTCGATAACAAACATGGCCATGGGAAGAAAAACTCCGAACCAGCAGCGCACAAGAAAATTATTGAACGTAAGAAACCACTCTACTCTACTCTACTCTTACTTATGACAGCTTATTTAGCTCAACCACTGTCCAATCACCGACACGATGACAAAAAAAATCGACCAATCACAAGTTTACAGAAAGAAAAAGAACTAAAGGCGAACGAAGTGTATTATGAAGCATCGGATAATCTTCAAACAATCCAATCATCAATAAATAATTCAGTGAGCAGATTTATTTAGCTATCTGTCATTTGCGCACGATTTCTTTGATTCGGTTATGCTCTATATCGTTTCAGGAATGCAACGTTGAACGGACAACAGCTCGGTATCCAGATCTAACATCTACTCCGGTTGATGATGCTTTAACAGACTCTATTATTCATCGTATATATTGTACCTTACTACAATATTTTAAATGATAAACAAAACACCTCAGCTATGTGGATGTAACTTGTATCATTTTTTTCTCCTCTTTGCTGCTTTCGTGCGCATTTTCATTTAGAACATAGGAGTTGACAGTGTACTTTCAATTTTAGACCTATAACACTGTCGTCAATCATGGTAAACGTTACGGTGGCAAATATTTCTGACTTTCTTGTATGCCTACTCGACAATGGACAATTACCATTTATTCTCATCATTCTGCTCTTACTCCTTATAATTATATTGCTCACAATCAAAATCATCCATGGTAAAATTTTTGCGGACAAACAAAGTGGGTGGAATAATTTTCATCGTGAGTTATGCGTTACTCTATGTTGTTTTAAAATGCATATCAAGTTGTTTTAGTATGTGTCACTTGCAACACTTTCTTACCAACAGACCCAATGACATTGACTACTATAGAAGAATATAAGACAAATGCGTGAAAGTAGAACCATTCATTGTAATTCTCCATCTTTCGTTATAATGTCGATTTGTGTGTGTATAAATATGATTTCCTAGCAATGACAATTGAATTTACGCCACCCTCATATCTATCAATTTGTTTCTTTCTTTTTACAGCCTACTGCTTTTTCAGATATTAATATCGACTACACTTTCATACAATTATGCCTTCTACATCGAATCAAACAAAATTGTTAAAACTTGTTTGCAAAAATGCAGCAATCCAACGTGCTCCCTACCATGGCGTACCATGGACAACTCCGACTGGTCCTGCTCCGAAAAAGAAATCATTGTCCACCATCAAAAAAACAAAACATGAAGTGTCTACCAAAAGCAACAAAAAATGATATGGAATAGCCCGTTTCAACTTGCTCACGAGGTAAATCATTGTACAACCATAGAAATTCTTCTTCAAAACAAATTTTTTAGTCTTCATTCAAGTGTCCACGAAATACTTGAACAGGCCGTCATCAATGTTCATTTTCTTGTACTTAGTTTTTCATTCAACGTGCATGTAAATTTTTTTTCAATTAGTGTGTTCAATTTTCTACATCTAAATTGTCTATATATTGTGTGATCTTTGATAGATCCTCTATTTCTATCTGTTCTAGATTAACTTTACTATTATACACAAAACAGCGTTATGGCAAATAATTCATTCGCACTTAATGTTTGTGATAAAACATCATCGTAAACTATGATTTATATTTCATTCTATAGGATTCGCTGGTAATTACACTGCGACATGATGAGAATGGAAATCTAATGGAAATACCAACACATAACGACGAAAGCGAACCACTGTCAAATGAATTTCAGACGGATGAAGTAAGAATTACTTTCATAGTATTGCATTGTTTCTCAAGGATAAATATCGATCTATTTCTGTTGTTTATTAGGCACGTATATATTTCTTACCAGAATCATCACATATAGGAACTCGCCATGTTATTAAACAGCATCTGATATCGAAATTCGAAGGTGAAATTCCAAGTTATTTGACGATTATTGATGCCTTTTTTGAAAAATTAATTGCGAACCAACGACTAACGCCTATGGATTTTTCTCACATGGCTGTCTTGCAACAGATGGTTGTGTTAATTCATCGAACAATCGTTGTCTCTTATGAGAAATCAATCTGGCTCGCATATTTAGGCTGTGGTTTGGGCACTCTACGATCGGATACGACGGGCAACTGTCCAAAATATTGGCCAAAAATGTTTCAAACGAGTATCGAATCAATAAATGGTTTGCATCCATCTCGAACGATCTCATGTCACGAGATTCGTCTTAATCTAGTGTTGACTTATTTGGAAGAATTAGATAGCAGAAATAGGCAATATTTGGAAAATATACTTGAAATAAGTAAATGTATACCAGATTATGATCAAACCATCGAAACATCTATTCGGACCTTCATTCAACAGCAATTGCATTCGTTACGCATTGAAACTGAAAACAAAATAACATCTATTCGCCATGAATATGAGTATCATCGGTTGCAATCAGTTCTCATTGAAGAGAAATTAGGGAGCGATCAAGTAAATCTAGATTATCTTATTTCATTTTCTTTCTTTCTTTCTCACACGTGTCTGTTTAGATTCGACAAATCATTCGCCTATGTGATTACAAATATAAATTCGAAGAAACGAAAAAAGAATTGATGTTCTTAACATGCTACATGTCAAGACGAAAACAATTAATGACACGAACAAGCATCCTAGACACTATGCTTTTATCAATTCACATTAAAAGTCTCCACAAAAAGTCTGTTCGTCAACAATTTTTCAAGCAAACTACCAAGATGCTTTCACAATGCCAAAATAGAATGAATAAGTTGGCATTACGTTTGCTCAAAGCCGATATGGCGAAAACGCATAAATTATTTAATGCCACAGTAGCCAATTTACGACAGAGCCAACATGGCCTACCATCTTGCCGACAATTCAATGACACAGTTATTAATACCATAGAGCTACTCTTTGCAAATGTAACGGACAGAGTTGAATGTGTTTATCAACGCAAAATACGTCAATTATGCGCAGCATCCCGTCGAAATCAATTGAAATAATCCTGTTTATCTCTTGCTACGGAAACAATGTATAATATTCTCATTTTACTCTGTATGTACATTCGTGCTTTTCTTTGTATTCTTCATATTTGCCGTCTTGTTCTATACGAATGGAATATGTATGTTGTATAGTTTTATTTTTACTGTGTTACTCTAGCGTTCATTTGTTACTTTCTTGCACAAATTGATTTATTTCTGCTTTAGATTGATGCTCGTAATTGATCATATCATTTTGTTCTTATTTCTAGATTCGGTATTATCTTTTTTTTTCTCTGATATTCAAGCATCGACACATCATGCCTCGTTTACCACGACTAAATTTAAATCGAAATTTATGGGCGTCATCTTCGGACGACGATGACGATAGCGACCACAACAATATTCGAAATGCACCGAAGTCTAATCGACTACGGCCCATGGAACTTCTTCAGCCCATACGCTTTTCATGGAACGACGACAACCATGGTTGTTTATCATGGTCATTATCTGCTGCCTATCCATCATTTGATCAAGTACCAGGAACGAGCCAACATAATCATCTTCTCTTGCCAAATATTCCTAGTAAGGTTTTTTTTTTGTCCCATATTTGCTTTTCTTTTTTGCATATAATTCTTAGGAAAACTTTTAACGAATGAACAACGCCACTGCTATGAAAATCGCCATTCATTTTTACCGTCGTTTGAATTTATGGACGAATATATGAACAATAATTTTCCGTCGTTTTTCGTGTTATTGTATCGAAAACTATTCACGGATTTATCTCAACGTTTACATGTTAACGATGCTGTCATTGATTATAACTATAGACGTTTACGCAAATGTGTCGATTTAATGATTCAACAACGGATCGATTATGGATTACAGAAACATGCATTGTCCGATGGCGACATGTCTTTGCACGAATATTCCATTGCATTAGAATTTTATCTACAAATGGACAGTATGTTATAATTCATCATTATTATTTTCGAATAGTACATTGAATTTGATTGTAGAAAACATTTTCTTCATGAAAACCTGCTCATTTCGTGGTGCAGTTGCACATACATCATCGAATTTTCAAGGAATCTTTTGCCTTACAGAACCTTATGCATCTTATGGCATGAGTCCATGTAAGACATCCAATTGTCGTTTTTGTTATCCACCTGGAAATATTTCTAAAAGGACTCCACAACACCAAGCAGTTGTTAAGTTTTCTTCTGCACAAAATCATCGATTTGTTAATGGTTATCGAAGTATTCTCAATTGCCCAGCTGTAAGTAATAATAATATAAAAGCAACGATCAAACAGCTTTAATTGTCCATTTGATTCACTTTTTCTCTTTTGCTAACACTCTAGACCTGTCAAACGAGAAATATTCTCTACGTATTGACATGTCCATGCGGTCAATATGATTATATTGGATATACAACGTTGACATTAGGACAACGTCTCGCATGTAAATGCATCTAATTTTCCTTCGTAATCAAATATTTTACTATGCGTATCTGTCCTATGTAGATCATCGACAACATGGCAATCGAATTATGCATGAATTTATCCTTGGCCAGAAAAATATTCAACGTGTTCAAACAAATCCTAAAACTTTCGAGTATAAAATAATAGATTTTGTTAATATTTTGTACGTACCGCTTCACTTATTTAGAACGCTGGTAAAGGATGATATGTTACTGTATAGACACTCGGCTCGCTGTCCAGTAGCTATGCAATTATTTCTGCAATGCAATCCACAATATTGGCCCCTCATTCCGATGTTGGCGCCGGATGCACAATACGATAACCGATCATATAAATTGCCGGTCTCAATTCCTTCTGATCCAACATCGCCGATAGTGACCAACACGCATACACGTAGTGATCAAGAAGCAGGTTGTTGTATGACCGATTTACCACCTTTCCCATCGAAGACATATACGTTTTCAACACGTCAATGTGCCCATCAGTTCGAATATTTTAAAAACAAACAAGATTATATTTTGCCTGATTTTAATCTCGATCTATATCAGGCAGCGATTGTTGCTGTCTGTAAGTATTTTATTATTGATAGTTCAACAACAAGTGTCAAATGCCTATTTTTATTCACAAATAGTACCGGATGATTGTTCACAAACATTTTATCGATTACTAGAAGCGTTATTTGTTACACATGCTGAAACAAAATTAAATACTATGGGTCATCTCGAACAAAATGGTGCTCAACGTACACGTCCCAAATTAGATATCGTTGCCGATCGCGGTGACTGGTGTCGTAATTTGTATCGACATCGTTCATTATCACTACCTCCAATGTCATAACCTGCGTTGCCATCTTTATGAATTAATTTCAAGGACATCTCTTTTGTTTTTTCTTTTGTTGTCTAATTAGTTGTCACAAAATATTGACTATCATATACGTATTATTTCATCTTCATGTATGAGTCGATGTTCTCTATTCATTCTTTGCTCTAATTGTAGATATTTCCATTACACTACACGCAACACATATCAGTTCACAACATGACAAATATGAACGAAGCATATAGTCCAATTTCTGATGATGATGAATTATTCGACATAATGGTAAGATGATTGAATTCAAACCGTTTCATTGTACATCTTCGTTTTGCTTCTAGTCATCAAGCATGAACTACGACATTAACGACGAAGAAATGAAGCAATTCTTTGAGTCGAATCCGTCCATTTTATCATTCAATGACGTAGAAGAAACGTTAAAGTCAACGACTGAGTGTGACTTTCTTAAGTATCACTCCGATGCGATTTCCAGTATTCTTCAAGTTGTTCGTATCTTTCAAAATCAATTTTTTCAGATGAGCTAGAACGACATGTCTTTTCAGACTCCGGATTATCTATCTGTGGAACATATCAAAGAACAATTTGGCAATATGCTTCAGCAAAAAGTGTACCAAATTATTAACACAATGCAGACAGAAACCATACAAATCTTTGCTGCTTTATTGCATCAGCTGGAGACGCTCGATTTGGAGATAAAGCTTTGGAATCATTATATACAACTAGGTACAGCCGATGTAGAACAACATGCGTCGAATTCCATCACACTATGGCCTGCAGACATCAAAACTATGATTCTTGCTGCTCGATCTTCATCAGCAGCGTTCAATGATCCAAATGCGCTTGTAATTAATGATGATGATTACTTCAAGTTCGTTCAATGTCGTTTACAACATTTGTATGAAAAACAAGACAACATAAAACAAGAATTGATGGCCCAGAAATGTAGTTTTCCTGGCTTTACAACTGCAATGGAGCATATCTTGAAAGCTTTCGTTGAAGAAAATACCGCATATCTGCGCTTAAAATACGATTATCAAAACAAATTTATCGATTTTGACTACCATGATCAACTGTTCGATTATAAATTTAAGCAACAAAATCCAAATGTACTTCAAGTAAGTGGAAAAATGCTCACCTGTAAATGGCAGCTAGAAAAATTGTGCCATCATGTTCTATGAGTAGCTAGGTTCAGACATTACACACCGTACACAATTGTGTTCGCCACATAATTTTGCCAGTGAAAAGACTTGCTCTTTTCGATGTTTGAAATTCTTGTCAAACTATGTTTTTTATCCGACATTTTAGATCGAACTGAGCAATAGTGTCTTTGCTAAAAAATATCAGTACGAAATGGTCAAACAAGAGTTTTTATGGATACAGAAACAAATCAATAACAATAAATTACTAACTGAATTAAACAATATTCAACTCTCCCTAGCTTCGACATTTCAATCATTAGCAGATATTAATTTGCGACAAACGTTGATAGACCGTCATCGTGAAGTTATACAGAAATATCAGCAAGACATGACCACCATCATTTATGATACAATGGAAGCTAAATTAAATGAGTTACATAATATATTTGAAGGCGCAACTGCAACGATGTGGCTAATCCAACAATCATTTCCTATGCACCTACGAATGAACCAAACAATGATTGATTTAATCGAGCATCACCTACCTATTCTTACTCAAAAGGCCAAATATATTTACGAATATAAAAATGCTTTAGAAGCTTTGTAATATCCATTTCTTTATTGATTTTCGTGTTTTGTTGACTATAATTGCCTTCGCGCGCGCGTACATTAGATTGTATATATATTGAATCATCCTTTGTGTACATAATTCAAAATTTATCGATAAATTTCTAGATACACCTCGATATTGTAGAAACAACCGTGAACAACACGACGAGTTTCAAATTTGAAGTCATAGTAAGTTCATTCCACTACAATTTACTTTTTTCCTTTTCTTTTACAATTTAGTCTCCTCATTGCCAAGTTGATGTCTAAAATGCACTCAATATTTATTCATTGCGCCTATGACAAACAAAGTTATGCAATGGTTTAAAAGAACTTGACTAAGATTGGAGCATTGAAACTCATTGAACTTACCATTGCCTGTTTATTTACACGTTCAAGTATTCCAATATTGCCATCAAAAACATTACTGATATTCGTCAATGTCGCTTACTTACTTCTATCGTATTCGAGTGTGATCTGCACCCGAACATCCTTTTTTACCGATATCCATCCAATCTCTTGTACTTCTATTCTAGATTCATGTAAATGTTATGTCAGGTACATTATTTAACATTGACTTTAGATACAATGCTAAACCATCCTATGTGCCGTCGTCATTTGGCGTAAACCGTAATCAATCGATTGTTTCAACAATGGTACAATTATATGATCGACCTCGAGTTATTGACAATGTCAAACGATTTGATTCGCAAGAATCGTTCCGTTGTCAAATCCATCAAGTTCTTCAAGAATGGAATCGATTACAAAAACAGAAGAAAGAATATCAACTGCAAAGACAAAATACAGCAAAGAAATCCATCGGCTTTTGGGGTGGCACAAACCATGAATATGAAGAATTCGATCGAATTATGGAGGAAGATCTTGAAAATCAGTTAAAAGAATTAGAATGTCAAGAGGAGGAGCAAATGAGAAAAACAGAACAAATCCTCGAGAAAGAGCTGGCGAAAACTGCAAATAATAATCAAGATATTGAAAGCCTTGAACGATATTGTATGGAACTCTTGGACGAATACGATACGAAGCAAAGGCAAGAAAACTGCGCAAAGGTGGTCGCAATCGAGCAGGGCAACATTTCACAATCATCAAATCATGTATGTTTATACTAAAGTCTTCGAATAACTTTGCTGACCATCATATGTAACTCAAATATTTAGAAAACATCATTACAACTCAATCAAGGCGTTTATGAAGAACAATACTTTAATCAACAGAAACGTAATCTACGATCCAAATCAGACAAGACAAGTATCATAATAGAAAACAACTTTACTTTACTTTTTCAAATATGCTGTTTTCCCTTTTTAGATTTATATAGGAAATTAGCCGCGCAAAACAAAATTTGTCAAATGGAAATGAATAGAATGATAGTTCTATTTCAAAAGTTTTTCAAATCTAACAAACATCAAGTAGATAACTCCAACTTATACTGATTTGAAATACACTTCGATTTACGTGTTTTTGACGACAAATGTCAACTTTTTGCTTGAATTTATTGTGTTTCAAATATTTCAACTTTTTTTCTTCACTCTTAATCTATCAACTAACTATTTGCGTTGCTCTGTTTTCTCTATCTCTTTCGGAATGTTTCATAGTCTTCCGATCTTACCTGATTGTTCTTAGTTCTAGATCACACGCTATTCCAATATTTACTACTTTGCTTTGCACAACTGCAATTCAATTGACACCAAACTTAGTTTACCAACAACGATGCACAAAACCAGATCTTGTACTAATGAAAACGGAGTAAGACAAACGACAAACTGTGTAGTTTCGTCTCACCCGCGTATTCAACTTTTCTCTTTCTCTTCTAGGGCGGTAATTTTGACATGGAAATTGTATTCGATGACGATAGAACTTCTTCCCTTCATAACACCGCCAACAACGACGGCGATCACGATGATGATATTCAGATTATTGAACCATCTGATTCTATTTCGACGAGCAACAAAACCAAAAGCACTTCACCAATCCGTAATCGACGTTCAAGCAAAACTGAACAACAGACAAATCCCGAAGATTTTAGATCTGTACCGTCACAAACTGTTACTTTCGCCAAAACACTAGATATTGCCAGTATTATCCGGATTAATTTCAATGAAACGCCCTATTATTTATCGAAGAAAAATCCATCTTTCGAGCAAATCATTTATCACGTATTGCCAAGAACAACACATGTAGAAAATTTTCGATCGATTGCCGTGCTGTTCTTTAAATCATTAGCTCTTGAATTAGTTCGATCACTGTGGATTGTTTATCGGCAATCAGGCTTAGGTGAACTCGAAACTGCATTGGACACAAAGGGCATTGACGCGAAAATCTGGCCAAAGGAAATACTTAATCTTATTCAGGATTATGAACCAAATATAAAAAACAAAGATCTCAACCATATTTGTTTAGCATTTGTCAATGAATGTCTCCAGCAAATGACCACGAAAGATCAAGAGTACCAGCACGAGTTACGTATCTGGACAACATCTCTAACCGATTACACCTCTACTCTTGATCAGATGATTAAAAAGTTCGTTGACGATGGACTCCGAGGCCTACGCCTGGAGGTTTCCTGTCATATCGCCATGACTCACTGTTACTACCAGGATGAAATCTTAAAGCAACAATTCTTAGTCCATAATCCAACGGATGAACAAGTAATACTACTTATACTGTCACAACTTGTCTAAGGCAATCATGCTTTCGCTCTTTAGATAGCTATGGTTAATCGTCTTTGTAAACTGAACTATAAGTTTGAAACGGCCAAACACGAATGGAATTTATTGAACGAAAAGATATTAATCCATCTAATCGATCGTCCATTTGATGGTCAAGCTATTTTACAGTCAACATTGATTAACGCTATGCGTGAACCAAACCTTCGACTACAGCTTCACATGCAGTATCATAATATATATGAGCATGTCAAAAATAATAAATTAAATGTGTATATGAACAAAGTCAAAGACGAAATACCGACACAGGGGAATATATTCAATGAACAGATGGATAAATTATGGGAAAATAATAAATCCAATTCTTGTGATCAACGACTATCGTATATTCTGTCAAATATTATCGACCGACGTTTAGCAAATATTACTGCACGTGTTGGGTGTATCTATCATTATAAGAGTGAACTGTTCTCGCGCAAAATTTAGGCTAAGATTAAAAATAATTCTGCAAATAATGAACGCTTATGTGTACAGTCTACCGCGATATATATAGCATAGTATGTACAGTTAGATTCGAAATAGATATATTGTAAAATAAAATATGAGCTATATTAGTGTAGAATCCTCATATAAATGTAGAAGTTTTTGTCATTTTTTTGTTATGTTTGTATGTTCATCGTTCCATAAAAGGGTAAAACATCAGAGCTCACACGGTTGTTGTCATTTCTATTCTAGATTCATTAGGTTTGCTAACTATCACATTACTCCGAAACTCAATTTTACCAAGGAAAACTATCAACCAATAATTCAAGGGCAGCGACAAATGTAAGTTTATACACCTCTCTTTTCATTCTGTCTTTTCTGTGCCAGATGCAATCGAACGAACTAGATGCAACAGCCGCAACACAATTCGCAAATGGTATTCGTGGTAAATCTTTCGGACAGCTACCATATTACTTGTCGACATCGAGTTCTACCTTTCAAAATAACATTCTTTGACAAATCAAGTCCTACAATTCGTTTTTCAAGTACAAATAAATCTAATCGAACACATCCGCGTTGATTGATCGTATCAGTTACAGTGTTTTCAACAAAAACCAAATGCACCGCAAGTAGGTTACAGTTCTTGTCCTGAACATAACTTCTCTTTAATAGTCTACATCGTTATTTTTTTTTTCATAGTTGCAAATTGTTAAACATATATGCTCATTAAAAAATGGCGAACAAAATTCAAGACATGAGCAAACTCTTCTGAAATTTGGCATTTTTTTCAAAAACTTTCCCGAAAATACTAGACCACGTTGAAACTTGACCTCTTCACATACGGATTAGAAAAATTTCCAATGCAATAGATCGTGTTCAACTATCGAAACAATATCAATCAATTCTTCAGAATACATGTGAAGATGTATTGAATTCAATCAAATCGACTGCAAAAAGTAGTTGCATGTTAAAACAGCTGAAATATGGAAAAATCAACAAGAAATGAACGGCGATGAGCGATTAACACAAAACATGATAAAGTTAATTGAACTTCGTCAAAAGAATAGTATTACTGCATAAGCGATCTTCATCAGTATGCTTCATGTACACCATTGACAACTGCAATTTGAATTTCGAACACTTTTCGTTCATTTGAGCAAACATCCATTTGTTATCGATAAGCACTCTTTTGCTTCATGCATTCATTGAATACTTTATGTTCTCTGAAATGTTTCACTTTTTTATTTCAGATATTTTCAACTAGTCTTCCTCGTCTCTACTCAATTCTCCATGCCTTCCGAATTCTATTCTGTGCATCAACCTTCTGGACACTGGTCAATTATAACGGACGCCGAATCACCAATATCATTTCAATATCAAACGAAAAATTCCGAAACTACCGAACGAAGGCGTTACGCTACTGCGGCAGCAATATTCACTTGCATAGCACAATATGTGCAGATGTTTTCTCGTCGAATCATCGCTGGTTCTGATCGCAAAAATGTCTCAAACAGAGCTAGCAAGATCGAACGTCGCATAACACGATTCATTACAAATCATACATAAACGATAGGATATCTACACATGTTTCCCTTCTATTCTTTGTACTTTTATCGTAGCCTGTTTAGTCGACTAGCTATTTCTTTCTATTCACGTAGATTTCGATAAAAGCACTCTTTTGACTTTGTTTTAGATTATATTTCGCTGTTGAATCTTTAATCATCCAACAAAACCGACATATTCTGCGTTGTTGATTAATATTTTTTTTGAAACATGAATAACTTCAGCAGTGAGGTAAACTATTCGTGTTTTGAGCTTTCATGTAATTAAGTTTTTATTTTATTTTCAGTTCAATTCAGGTGATTTATTTGACGACGAAAATTGTCTGTCTCAAAGGCTCAGCCAACTATCAACCTCAGAAACACAGCCCGCAACTGTAAAAAGAAGTGTAAGCGCCATGAACATACAACGATCGCCGCCGTCACGAACATCCTCATCGTCAAAAAAGTTCAAAGCTGACCGCGACCAATGCGAGAGAACAGCTGAGCTCAATATTGATGATATTGTTGTGGAAGAAGATGTGCCCAGTTATTTGCAATTGAGCAGTCATAGATTTCGGCAATTAGTTGATCCATTTCTACTTGACACAGATGATTGCTTAACGATCGAAGATATACAAGGCATTGCTTTACTCCTACGTCGAATCGCGATTGTCAACATACGAAAATCACTTTGGACTGTGTATTTACAAGCAGGTACTGGTATTTTGGAAGTCGGAGAAATATTCGGATCAAAAGTGGTAACCAATCAAGAAATATCAATCTGGTCATCTGAAGTTAAGTCGAAAGTGTTGACATTAGAAAACAACAACAGCAGCAGCAATAGTACGAAAAAAACGACAAGCGATGAGCCAGGAATAATTCAGGTCAATAGTGACACGTGTCGTAATTGTGTCAATCAAATGCTCCGGCAATATTCAAATCAACTCGTACAATATGAAGAGGATTTCAACAATATGAAGCATGTTCTAAACAATTTATTTACACTGCAAATGGAAAGCAGCTTGACAGAATTCATCGAACAACAAGAACTAAAATATTTACGTATTGAAATCGAAAAGAAAATTGTTACTGTCAAATACGATTACAAGGACCGCTTTCTTCAAAACCGATACGAGCAATATCGACCAACTAGATATGAGGTAAAATTCAACGGATATCAACTATTTGTTTTCATGTTGCAGTTATATTTATCTATCTGATAGCGAGATATATTTGATAATATGCTTCGAATAAAACGAGCGCAACTCAAGAGTATGTATGATGCAAGTTTATGGAAACAACGTCGCTTTTATTCACATTTGCCTGAATCATTGAATTTATTAAATTTGCCACTTCTTCCATCTCTATCAATCAATACAATTACTGATAAAAGTAGTCGCGAAAGTCTAATGGATCAATATGCTCAAATTACACAGAGAACCAAATTGGAAATCATGGCACTGTATATCGACATTGCCCAAGTCAAAGCTAATGAAAACCAAAGGAAACTTGAACAAAATGTTCTTCTATTGGAATCGAATTCGGGCATTGGTGACTCGATGAAGTTTATCATTTTTCAATGTTTTCAAATTATTGAAGAACGATTCTCATATTTGTACGACTTAAAAGTCCGTGCACTTCAATTACACAAGAAAACATGTTAGAATGTATATACCTTCTATAACGTTTTGTCTCAATTTCCATCTATGAACTATCATATTTAATCAAGATCTTTACTGTAGTTTAGCTGTAGTGCCATATGAAATGTTTAATTCTGTCTCTTTTGAAAAGAAAATGACGAATGAATTTGTTCTTCGTAGATATTCATTGCATGCCTTTATTGTAGATAGCATACTATTTAAAAATTGACACGTATTATTCGAATAACCCAAAAAGGTATGTCACTCGATCGTTCTTGTTTTCACCCTCACGTTGGTACAACAGCTATGCGTTCAACTGTGACCCATTCGACTGCATCCACATGTCCACAATTGCAATTCAGGCATGAAGAAAATAAAAGAAAAAGAAGGAAATGTCGAGGTAACCGTGCGTATCAACGTTTTCGAGCCAAACTACGTCGACAAGGCTTTGATAATGGCGTCATAGAGACTATGATCAGTAATCACAATACTTCAGATGGAGAAAGCACCAATCAATTGGAGCCTAGTATTCCAATATTTAATTCAGAAGCATTTATCACTTCGCCAGAACAGGTAAAGTGATAACAATTTGCTTAAGACTAGAGTAAATGTCTTGTTTTGTTCTTTATACGCATGGTAAAGAGAACGCAAGAACATGAATATGTCGATCAAGCAAGTGGTACTAAACGTAAACGTAATCGAACATCAAACGAAATAACTGCCTCAATTAGTCAAATGTCGATATCTTACCTTCCCAGAAAACGTCATCGCTCAAAAACAATCGAAAGCAGCCTAACAGAACAAGAACAAATGTGTGAACCGTTGTCAAATGTCAAACCCAAATATTTACAAGTATCTGATCAAATCTTCAAGCAAATGCTCAGTGAATCGTCGACAGATAGAACACATATTCCCCTTCCAATTCTTGATACACCGCAGAAAACACAATTTGTTCGAATATATGCACATTTATTAAACAATGTTCTCTATTTGGAAATGGAATTGAACTTCTGGAATCATTATCAAGACGTACTCACAGCTGAACACATATGGTCATCCGTACCACTCGATAAAAGTGAGACACAAAAAAATAGCCTCTACCGAAGTAAATTCAAAACCACAAGTCAACTTTCTGCTCATCAAAAATTACTTGAAAACCGTCTTCAAAGAGCCAAGACTGATCTCAATCAACACAAACAACAAGCTATTCATAATTATTTTGACGAAAAGCAGCTTTCAATAATTCTTACTGCATTTGTTCGTCGAGGTCAATTCAAACTAAGAGCGGATTACGAACGTAAAAAACGGCTACTACAATGTGATGCTAATGATCATCGCTTAATTCGTGAATTTTATGACTTAAAACCAACGAATAATCAGGTAACTTTCATTATCATAGAATCATTAGTTGCTACTTTCTTTCCATAAATATCTGTCTCGTAGATTCAATCTGCGCGTATTATTTGGAAATTAACAAAAGACAAATTACAGACGGAAGAAGATATGAATGTTCTGAAACAACGTATATATACAAAACGTTTACCTGCATCCTTTCAAATTCTTGATCATTCCATTGATAACATTGAAAAGATGCTTCAAAACCCAATACTTAATCAAGATAAACGTGCTACATTATCGTCACGCCGTTTGAAAATAATTGCACAGTTCAAATATGACCTAATGAAATTAGCTATTCTTACAGCCGAAGAAACCATTCGATGTCATGTAACACTTATTACTGCCGAAAAGAAAGCTTTAATTGAAAATGTTACATCAGCTCTCGATTCCCCCCAACCGACATTGCTTGCACAAGTGATTCAAGTCGTTAACAAGCGTGAAGTTAATATGATGCAACGTCAACAAATTATACTCGAACAAAAATTATCGGTTTTCGACGATGCTCCGACGATGGAAGATATGACCACAACTACCGTCACTATCGTCGGAGCACAGCAGTAGATTCGTTCATCCATATTCTTCCATCAACACCAATCGTTGAAACTCATACAAATCTTACATCGAAACAATTATCGTTTTTGAGTTACGGCCCTAAATACGTTCCACCACAGCACAATCGTTTGTCATCAGATTTGCTTGACAAAATTATCAATCAAGAATTCCAATATATTCTGCAGTGTTTTCAAACTGGATTCCATCGAAATTGTGTTTCGATTTCCGATCAACGAGCGCAACATTTCTTCGCTGAATTGGAAACTCTTGTTCGTCAATTGTATACAACACCTATACCGACTAAACTTCGTCGACGTGCTCAGTATGAACAACGTACAATTCGCAGTATTCAACGTCGATTACAAGCATCCCATTCTATTGTTCGATTAACAGATAAAAGTAAAGTTTTTCATTTGGGAAGTCAACATGAATATCACCGAAAGGCGCTTGAATATATGACGAAAACAAATGCTTACAAAGAACTGTCTAATGGCAATAATCTATGTGCAGATCATTTACATAAAGTCCTATCGATCATCGATCCACTACTGAAAACGAAAGCGATTAATTTAAAGTGGTGGAAGAGTAAAATGAGACCTGATTCGAAAACAATCGAGTTAGCTCATCTCTATTTCATACCGAAAGCACATAAAGTAAGTCGAACAGTCAACGAAGTAGAAATTCTTTATATTCTTCCTAGGTAAATACACCACTACGGCCAATTGTGTCATCAATAAAAGCTGCTGCAACCGGTGTGTCACATTTTCTTGATCAAATCCTACGGCCATTATATGATCAAGTAGCCAAGTCATCCACATTCATCAATGATATCGATTTTGTTCGACAGCTAGAACACTATCGAGATAGTGGGCGATTTCGTTTAACAACTACATTCGTTACGTTCGATGTCACTGATCTTTACACAATGATTCCACACAACGGATTTCTCATTGCTCTAGGCCATTTTCTTGAACGTCACTCTACAAATCATCGAATCCACGGCATGACCATTGATACAATTATGAAGCTGGCTCGTCTAGTTCTGACAACAAACTGTTTTGCTTTTAACAATAAATACTATGAACAAATCCGAGGCGGAGCAATGGGATCACCACTAACGATGACTTTAGCAAACATTTACATGCTCGAATGGGAACAACCTTTGATTAAATATCAAAAATCACAAAACGAACTATATGGAAGGTACGCTCCTGAGACTCATACTTTTCATGTTTTCTTCGTCTCTATTCATCTTTATAGATATATAGACGATGTTTTTATGACAACGAATTCATTATCGCAGATGAATACTCAATTGAATGAAATAGAAGTGAAGGATCCGAATATCAAAATTATTCGATCTGCTGGTACAGCTATGGAATTTCTTGATGTCTATGTCAGGAACGAAAATGGACAATTAAAAACATGCGTCTACCATAAACCAGCAGCTGAACCTTATATTTTGCCGTTCCTATCCGAACATCCGCGTCACGTTCATCGGAACACAATCAAAGGTGCTCTCTTTCGAGCTGTACGTCTCTGTTCAGATGTCGAAGACTTCCATCATGAGCGGTTACATGTCGAATTAACTCTACTGTTAAATGGGTATCCATTGAAATTTATTAACTATCATTTTACACAATTCTTCCGACAACATCAAGGGCTCTCATTATTACCCGACCAACCAATGGATCAGATAGTTTATGAACAGTTGCATAGAAAAATACTTGTTCGATTATCACGACGCGAACAAAAGCGTAATGAATTAATAACAAACTACGATACAAACGAGCAGAAACAAATCAATCAATCAAAATATTGGAATAATAAGAACATTACTGTTCAGTATACTTTTCAAAGTGGTCCTTTGTTAACATTGAAACACAAGCTCAACGTTCTTTGGAAGAAACATTATGTGTATGAAGGCTCGTCAATGAATCATGTGCGCATACAGATGGGAACGCGTACTAATCAATCGTTGAGCCACCTTTTCGTCAAGAAAAAACCGCTGAAATCAACATTGGCTGACATAACGTCACTTCCTACAACTACATCCATTGCTACTAATACAACGAACACAAACATAATTCTATAGTATTGATTCTTTCTGACATCCTGTATATGGTATCTACACATTCGTATATTACGTTTTTCTACTTATGACATTTATCAAGAAGACATGAATGTCTATAGTGTCTATTCTGTACAATTATGTCTTTTCTTATTTACATGTATTAGTTCTTTGATAATATTATAATTTGAGTTGATTCTTCTTTTTTTTTTCAGATACGTTAAAAAAAAACCAAAATTTGTTTTTCTAGCAACGAGATAGAGAGCTATACTCCATGGCACAAAGTCCTAGTGTAATTCACCTCGATCGAGCAGAAAAAGCTGTTTCTTTGCTGCTATCCACTGATCAAAATCAGCAACGATATCGGCCGAAAACGATAAGGCCATGTAATGAAGTGCGCCAAAATTATTTACCAACATTTCCGTCAATTTCTTACGGCCCACACAACTATCTACTCTTAGCTAATGTACCAGGTATGTTGCTCTTTTACTCAAGAAAACATGTGTATAGTAAATCTCATGAAATATTATCGTTCAGGAATTCATCTATCACCTTTGGAAAAGCTCCGACGTGTACATGGTGCCAACACTGATGACGCAATATCGTTGATGAAAAGTTATCGGTATTCAGGTGGCCATGAAGGGTTTCATTTATCTGAGCAGCATATAAGCGACTTAGCAGAACGCTTCCAAATCGGTGAATCAATCATTACTTTCAATGCAGAGCGAATCCGTAGCCTTTCTGCTAGTCTCTTTGCATTGCATGAAGAATTTCGAGTTACTGTGCTGAAAAGACCCAATGTCGCATTGGCTGAACCAACACTCAATTCAAAGCAGATGGCCATTTTACTGGAATTCTATCTACAGATAGACGGTATGCTTGCCCGAATATACACATTATTTCAGCCTTGAATATCTATTAAAACGAATTTTTCCTTTCAGTGGATACTTTCTACATGAAAGTATGTTCCTTCCGTGAACCTGATTTTTGGTCAAATATGAATAATAGTGAGGGTCTCTTTTCTGAATACAAAGGACCTGAAGCAAGGTACATGGTCGAACCTTGTGGTAGTTTGTTCTGCACTTGCTGCCATCCACCAAATAGTTGGCGAAAGACTCGACCATGGCCCGTAGTTGATTTTGCCTCAAGCTCATCACATCAGTTTGTTAATGGATACACTACTTATCTGAATTGTTCAGCGGTATACTTTTCTTGAAATATTTCGTAGCATTAGAAATCATGATATCCTATGCTTCGTTATTTCAGACGTGTATGACATCTAATATTGTCTATGCAATGACATGTCCATGTGGCCATTACGATTATATTGAATCAACAAAGGAGACACTAAGTGAAGCTCTGGCTTGTACGTATCTCATGCAACATTTTCTGAGCTTAGCTCAATATGAACGTCTTGTACAAAAGTTCCTTTCCTGTATATATATATATATATAGATCATCGTGAACACGGCAATCGAACTATACACGAAAGACTGACTGGTATTCCTTTCTATCGAGGAGCAATCTTTGACGATACTGAAATAGAGTATGTAAAGTCACATATGTCTGATGACAATTTGTCTCATTCATCTAACTATGCTCTTGTATTTCGTTCCAGAAAGGAAATAGCCGGTCAAATGCGTCTGTATCGACATTCAGCTCGATGCCCTGTAGCACTTCGAGTATTTCTCGATTGTAACCCTGCGCATTGGTGTTTTGTTCCGATGACATGGCATGATTCAGCTACTGAAAGTATTCGTGTTCTCGCACAAAGATCTAATGAAAGAGATCCAGAAATAGCGAATATTGTTCGGATGGGTGCTATCAATGATCGTACTGTGGCACGCCAACTCGACAGTGTACCAATACCACCAGCACCTTACGCTTTTTCATATCGACAACGACAACAACAACGTGAGTTTTTCGAGCGTTTGGCGACTTTACCACTGGGTCGATCACCGTACTCGACAATAGATTTATATCAAGCAAAAATCATTGCCGTTTGTAAGTGGATCGATTTTGACAAATTAAATTATTCCAAACATACTTTTCTGTTCATTCTGTACAGTACCTAATGATTGTTCGCTTCTGTTGCGATACTTGATCGAAACATTATTTATCATACATTGTGAGACTAAATTAAACATGATATGCCCGCTGGGTGGCGATCCTGAAAGACGATATGGTCCTCCATTCGAACCTATCTGGTGTGACAATTTACATAATGGAATTCAAAATGCTACAGCCGAAGACCATTGAATTAAAATCAGTTTGTTTTCGTCGATCTTGTCGCCGTTACGAATTGTAGACTGTACATCACGATTTGACTTTTCTTTGTATACATTTCTGTGTTTTACACTTAAAATTAGATATAATTCGCTCTCTAGTGTTGCAATATCCATATCACATTCTATTGTAGATTTGTAAGCTTTCACACGTTCTCATGGATAACTCCGATCGCTCAACAACCCAGGTGCAGGATCAACTCTCTACATTGTTCCTGTCCTCATCCTCATCCTCACCATCACCATCGACTACTTCTGAGATGTCAAACACACATGTTTTGACAAAGAATATAACTAAAGTGGACTTAGACGAAAATGTTACTCAATGTCGACAAACAGATTCTTTGAATAAAGCACTGCATGCGTTTCAACTATCAGGTAGTATAGCATTTTTATCCCCAAATTTTTGTGATCATATTAGTCATTTATTTAGATGGGTTTGCTTTGACAAAATTGCACGAGTTCAACTTAACTATACCATCAGCAAATGAAAAACCTGACAAGAAGTTTCGATTGGAGAGAAAATCTTTTGCAATAGCATGCCGGTCGAATTTAACGAGTAAAATAGACTGTCTTTTCAATAGCATAGGAGATGTTAAAAATTTATATATTGTATTTTCAACAGAAGATGCTATCTTACAACATATCCAAAAGGAATTCAACGAACTGTTAGAATATGTTTGTATCTCATGTGTTGATCAACCAGAAATGTGTCAACCACCTTGGATTTACTACATCCAGATTCATCTTCAGAAAAGCGTCAATATGCACAGACTGTTTTTTCGTGAAGTAGCAGGTTAGAAGCTCCGCTGAAATTTTCAACTATATCTATCGTTTGTCTATGATCGTAGGCATGGAATGTAATTATCGAGTCACCAATAATGATAAAGATTGGAACCACTTCTTGAAAAACGGTGTGCTTTTTCATAATTTTAATTTGTCTTTTGTTAAAAGAGTTCTTTATATACTGTTTTAGTTGGTACATATGTTGAAGTTGGACGGTTTCGATCAGTCAGATCACGTACGGGCATAAAATGGGCTCGAGTGACTAAAAATAAGCTCAAGCATCTTCAAACGGCAAAAACAGACTTAGTGATAAAACAAATTATAGAGGAACTAAGAAATGCAAGAGCGTCTATTCAAAATTCTATTAAACTAGCAAATGAAATCATACTGTGTACAGATCAGGACCATATATAATGACTTATATTGTTATTACTCAAGTTCTCCAAACATGAGTCGCATCTGTAGCATTCATGTGTAGGTTGTTCAAGAATTTGAAGTTTGATTTCTCTCTAATACTGTTTAGTCCTTTATCTGAATAAGCTTGATTTAAAATTTTGTTTATATACTCGTTTCTGTTTGATTTTTCATATGTTTATATTTGCGTTCTCTACTATCTTGTGAAGTACCTTTGTGCATTCGTGTACATGAATTATTCTGTTATGTAAATTTCATTAGAACTGATTCTACGTGTTACATCTTATCTGCTGTTGTATTCTATTGGTTTTGTAAAAAAAGATACATTGGTTGCTCATTAAAACTTTCGTTTATTATATTCATTAATGTTTCGCTTTCATTCTCTTCTAGATCTACTACATTTTCTTAGTATTCTCATATATTATCTTTAACCATACCAAACACATTGACTAATCGCAGGGTAATGAAAAATAGACGCTTTGTTGATTCCTCTATTTTTCATATTTAATGTTAATGTCTTATTCTTTTAGATTTTACTTCTTCTTTAACTCAAGCAAAGTAAAAAGATACCTCAGACATTCTTTCAGTGCCCAAGCACATTAATGTAAATATGTCCAATTATCAATTACTTCAGTCAGGCTTCTTTCCACGGACAAAATCTTATCGACGACGATTTCGCACAACAAAACCGCACATTCCAATTTCAAGTTTCACTACTGATTCCACGCTCAACGATTATATACGATATATGAATGAACTTTCTACATTGCCATCCGTGTCAGTTACCACTGCGATGGGTGATTATGACACCAATCACACTACCTTTATGCTCACCAGTACATTGTCCTCGTCGACATATGAATTTACCACGCAAAACTCAACTCACTCTCATGACTTAGGGATCGGCACAATGGCTTACCCTTCGCTCAGTCATTATATTACAAAAATACTACATTCAATCCTCAGTTTTATTGTACAGCAGAGAGGAAACTTGTGGCAATATGCTCTCTATTCGGCATCCTTCTGCTTCTTCTTGTTGATGATGCAAATGCTTATCCGCCATTTACGTGCATGTCACAGAACTTATTTCTCTCGTAAAAAGCATCCCCCTCAACTACGAAGTAAATTTAAATCAGATAAACTTCTTATTGAATCTTCTTGTCTAGTACATTCTTCAACTTCGGAATATTGTATAACACCGACCTACGCTGGATTCCCAACAAATGACGATGACATTCAACATTATGACAATAGCAACCCATGTTCATTAGCTTCCAATCAAATCACCTTGGCTGGATCAGTCATAACATTTCTTCCTGATAAAGTTTAACTATGCCTCTACAAACAACTTAACAAGAGACACATCCCATACCCTCAAGAACACTTCGTCATGCACCTTCAACAATATGATTATTTCTGCTGTTTTCCCATGCAAACAACTTGGTTCGGTGTTGTATATAGATGCGATTGACAATACAGTCTGAGTTTGCAACAGGGCAAACCCTGAAACTATTTCTTAGCTTTTAAAAGTCTGTAAATTTAATGTTTTTCTTCTGTGTTCTTCGTGTGAACTGCCATGAATCGGTAAGTCAGCTTGCTAAATCATAGATTTATAATGCAAACTAAAATCTTCAGATGTAAACTCAATCAATGAACAACTTTGACACAAATACGATACGAAAGACAAAGGTCAGTATTGATACGCAGGAACGAGATAGAGAAACAAAATTGATGCATTTCACATATGTATTTAGTTTTATTAGTCGGAGCCCATGAGCCGATCTTGTATCATTCAACGATCAAATTGATGCCAGCCAGTCACTGTTTTTTATAAATCATACTGCTTATGTTAACATATTGTATTGGATTTTCTGTTGTACATTCAATTTTTAATAATATACACATATTGCCCACTTTTGCTTATGTATATTTCTCATTAGACTGTTCTTTTTCAGATATCTTACGCGTACCTAAAGTTTCACTGACTTTATAAATTATGGCTCAATTTTTGACATTATTATATGACGCACTTACGTTAATACCCTACCCCAGAGAAATTTTACCAACTAAATCAGCACACAACATAAAACAAAACAATAACTTGAGTTATATTTGTGATCTGATGTCTTCAATGACGGCCATGATGAAAAGGCAACACATCAATTGTACAATGACGCCATTCGGAAGTCTCCCAGAGCATATTATAATTTACGATACTTCTTTTCCTATTGATTCATGGAAAACGGCAGCATCAATCGAAAACAAACCAAATTGTGGGCCAACCTTAATGAATCAAGCCTTTGGTGTCGATAATCACAATCGGTCAATCAATCGACCATTATTATTCTTTATTCTTTTCGTTGCGTTCTTCAGCTTAATATTTATCAATATTACTGTTGTAATTGTCATGCAAAAGTTGAAGAAATATCATAACTCGGGATCTGCTTCGAGCTGTAAGTTTTTCTGATCAGCTATTAGAACACGTTCTTCTGATGAAACTGTTTTTGCATAGATGCGGATATGATGAGTATCGATTATGAAACTCCCACGCGAGACATAGGAGTAAGTATGAATGTTTCCAGTTTTGATAGGTGACTTTCATCTACGTTCATTGTACGAATATAGGAAACAAACACAGATGAATAGCTACGCTATTTCAAACACATACGGATCACAAACAACTCACCTTAGCATATATGACCTTATTCGAGCTGGAGACAAGATGAAAAAATTTGTAGCTAAATTATGATACTGTAACTTTAACTGTTCTATTCTTTAGCACCATGTGACCCTTGTAATGTTTTGAAAGCACAGAATTGTTATCTTAGTCTACAAAAAACATGTGTTAAATAAAGGACTACTTCTTCGATAATACGTATAGATATATAAGTAGAAGATCAGTAAAAATTTTCTATGTTGAGATACATATCTTGATGGCATAGACAACTAATTCCATCACCGTTCAAAAAAGATTTAATTGTCATTTCAGATAAAAATAAGAGTAACATTCACAATACCAATTAAAATATCATCTATTCTTCGTGATTCGATTTCAACGATGAGCAAGCACTCATTTTATAGGATGCACGTAAGTAGCAGCAGCATCGTGATAATATCGCGAGACATCACACTATTGTATTCGTCTAATTTAGTGGCGTGACATGGAATGGTATGACAACATTTTTGATGTTATGGACGACAATGAAGACATGCTGGAATGTACACCGGTAGAGTTAAACCGTTACTATATGTTAGGTCAACTTCCAGCAAATGCAGAAGAACAATACGAGATCGAGGCGAGTGGAATAAAACCAGACATCGAGACAATATTGTCGACTACTTATACTGATGATAATCAAGTGAACAATACTTCAATTGACAATTTTCACAATAACTCATGTCTTTGAATATTTAGACAAAAATGACAACAGATGCAGAAAAGAAAACAGAAAACAAGACGACAGACAAGAACAATGATGGTGATAACGGCGACGACGATGACGACGACGACGACGATGATGATGAAGAAGAAGAAGAAGAAGAAGAAGAAGAAGAAGTTCTATCACAACAACTAAGCCAGTTATCTACAGAGGGTAGTCTAGAAGAAGAGACTATCAAGTCCAATCGAAAGAGAACACGAAGTACAACTAGAAGTCTAGATGTTGCTCCAAAAAAGATGAAACCTACGCGAAATGACACTGCTAAAGAACAAAATACTAGTGAGAGTATTGAACAAGACAAATCAAATGATATACCAAGATATTTATCATTAACGAACCCTGAATTTCTTCGTGTTATTGAAAATATTCAAAAAACAACAAACTCGATTGGTCTGAGCGATATACAGATGCTAGCACTATTGATGCATCGTATCACGATCCTTCGTATTCAAAAACACATCAATATTGTATATCTGCAATCCGGTACGGGTCAATTGAATGATAGCAGTTCGGACTTAATCGAAGTTGATCGACGAGTTTGGCATAAAGACATCAAATCAATCCTGTCGATGAAACGCGCACAGACAAGTGCTTCTGTAACAGTGGAGGAAATCACTTCAAACGATGAACAAGCCAATTATGAAAATCTTATCAATAGTCGTCTACAAGAAACCAATGAGAAAATCGAGCAATACACTCAACAACTCACTGATAAGAAGAGCAACTTAACTGAATTTACAACAGCAAGTGAGGAGATAATCGTTCAGTATGTCCAACATTATGGTATTATTCCACTGCAAATGAAAAGAGATTTCAAAATAGCTGTACTCAAACATGACTACAATGGCATCATTCTTCAAAGGAAGTACGAACAAGAAAATCCAAATGAATATCAAGTGAGTCTTCAAAACACCTTGCCCAATGATTTAGAATTGATATTCACATCCTATTGTCATTGAGGTTGAAATCGCTGAACGGCTATGTACAGCAAAGTATGAATCGGAGAAATCGAAACGTGAACTGATTGAATTAAAACAACGAGTTTTTTACTACAAATTTGACACCTTTGTCAAAGATGTCGAGTTATCATCCTTATTGTCTTCTGCTTCTGCGGTCACATTCAATGATAAACACCAACGACTGGCTCAACGAAAGAAACTCGACCTATTTGCTTCACACATATCCAGAGCTGAGCTCAAGTACTATCAGACTGAAACCAAATTCAAGTCCGAATACAAAAAGATGCTAGATAATCACCGGAATCTTGTGCGTGACAAAGGTATGACAACATCCCTGAGAAATCTATTAGAACAACGTCTGACCAATATAACTGATCGATTGCGAACTATTCATTATCATCGAATTAATTACTTTCTTCGAAGTTCTTATGGTGACTGGGAAAGTAAATCGCAGGATACACAGACGATCCACACTCGTGAATTCTTATCAAATGTGATGATTGATACAATGCATGAACTGAGTCCAAGACAAATGCAATTACTTAGTCGCGGACCCACTTACGTTCCACCTTGTCAGTCACGACTTTCGTCTTTTTCGAAATCAGCACCAACATCAACATCAGACATCGTGAAAAAGCAGTATGCACCATTGAAACATCAAATAGCTAGCTTGCTTTCGAAACATCGTCTGAGTATCGCTTCTTCATGGGATATTCGTTCAAATATTTGCTACAAGTTTACTAATTTATTCGCTATTTCGATTCCATATAACATGCAAAAGCGTGCTATCGATGAAATCAAATTAGTCCAATCCATACGATCTTCCTTGAAGACGAACAATCTTATCCTCAGACGGACAGCCGACAATCAAAATACTTTTTATATCGGAAACAGAGAAGAATTCGAACTAAAAGGAAATAAATTTCTTTCAGGATTAGAAGACGTCTATGAATGTGTAGGGATCATTGGCAAGGATAATAGCGACCACAAAGAAAATCAAATAGAGGATCCACTATATCTACTGAGCGGAAGAATCGAAGCTATCAATTTCGCATTAGAAACATTGCAAAAACGCAAAGCATTAGAGAAGGACACAATCAGCAAGTTAATAATTGATTCAAAGAATGTGAAGTTACCATATCTCTACTTCTTGCCTGACATGTTAAAGGTAAGCGGAATATTTCCTGCTCGTCGTTTCGAATGATGACTTTCGTCAATATTTGTTTATGCAATTCACTTGAATAGGAAGATGAAATGTCGCTTGTACCAATCATAGTTGCACATCAAAGCATCACATCGAATATTGCAACATACGTTAACCAACTGATTGGACCATTTGCTAATGAGAAGATGAAACAATGGACATTTTGTAACGAAGCTGATTTTATGACAAAACTCATAACTTATGCATGCGACCAACATCGTCTCAAACCAACAACCCTTTTCTGTACAATTCAAATCACTAATTTCTATTCGCTGGATGTACACAGTGAAATGATTGCTACCGTCATTGCTTTCTTACGAGATAAATCGGCATACAACAAAGTCAACAAAGTCTCAATTAGCATCATCGAAAACCTTTTACAATTATTTCTCTATCAAAATCTCTTTTCGTATCAAAATAAAATCTACATCATCAAAAAGGGCAGTCCACGAACAATGTCATTAAGTGAAACCTTGGCGAATATTTACCTCTATGATTGGCAAAAGTCCATACTGAACCAATTTGAATATAAACAAGAACTCTTCGGAAGGTGAGTTCGATTCTTGTTCACTATACCTGTTAATGAGTATGATCATCTCTACTTTTAGACACAAAGATCGCATCTTTTTCACTTGGAATAAATCTTCCAACATACTTCAAGCGCATCTAGAATCGTTACAAAAACAACATCCCAGTGTTAAGTTTCGACTATCCATTGGTCCAAATGTCCATTATTGGAATACTTACATTGAAAACCGAAGGGGTGAGCTCTACACTCGAGTCTATCACGATCCGATGGCCCTACGTTACACAATGCCCTACGTCGTTGGCCATTCCAAGGTGCAACATAGTGAATGGCTTCGATCAGCACTTCTTCGAGCTGTATGCTATTGTTCATCAGTTGAAGATTTTCATCGAGAACGCATCTATCTCGAACTGACTTATCTTGCCAATGGCTACTCGTTTTACTTTGTGGAAAGTCATGTGCAGAATTTCTTCAACTATTTCGAGGATGATTTGATGCGATATTCTTCAGATCAAACCAGCTATGACACATTTCGTCGACGATGGTTTGACTTGTTCGAGTTACAGAGCCAACGCATGGAAAAACTCCAACAGCTAGACGCTAACAAGAAAGTAGCTCGTTTCAGTTATTACTATGATTATGGCCCACGATGTGAATTCAACCAATACTTTCGTGAACTATGGTCAAAACAGTTTGCGTCTCATTCGACGCTATCCAATGAGAAATTTAAGATTTTCCTAACTACAAAACACATTTATTCACTCAATACATTGTTATCGTCTTTTTAAAATTTAAGATTTCTGTTGATTTTAGATTGCATTTCTCTTTAATGAGTAAGGTCAATCTGTTTTGAAAGTGTATATATTTAGTGTCGTAGGATAAAACTTGATGTTGATAACTTATATCATATATTCTGCTTTAGCCTTCTTCCATTCAATTATTTGTGTATCTCTTTTGATCATTTTTGCAATAATCCTTATTTCAGTTCTTGTTTCAGATAGATCTTTAGCAGATTTCTTAGACGGTTAATTACGGCTTCAACACTCCTCAAGTGGTATTACAACTCAAAAATAATCGAATCCGTTTATTATAGTACCATCCAAGCTGTTTCAAATCCATTATGAACAGAAATATACCTTCCTATTCCAATTCAACTCTATCCACGAACAAACGAAAACGACATTCAAATGTGCACTTGAGTACTCTTCCAGCATTCAGCCCCTCGAATGATTGGCGAGTATATTGTATCAGTCAGAGAACTAATACTTCGTTATTGCACTACCTCATTGATTTGGCAAGAAAAACAACTGAATATACCATTGATACAGAACACGATTGCGTTACGCACGAAGCAGCACTAATTCAAGTTGAATTTATACGGAGAC